ACTTCCGCCAGGCACTGTATGTAAGCTTGGCCAACGTTGGAGCTTCTCAAACTGATTGGATGCATGCCAATTGCATAGGAAATTTGTAACATACGAAGTAGTTCTTGAATGCAAAGTAAGAGTGTAGAGGAAGCAAACTACAAGGAAGCAAACTTCCTGCCTGCAGGAAGCAGTTTGCGGTAGTCTTGGGTGGGTGGAAGCAGGCCTTAGACTCCACCGGCCCCAGGATATTGTCCTTCAGGACTGAGTGGGTTTAATTTTCCTTCTTGTCTGCATCCACTCCTAGCAGAACTCTCCTGTTTTGAGTCCTGCCTCCTCCTAGCACAGGATGAGCAAAACTGGGTCGCCCCTAAAGCGTGAAGGGCGACCTGCCAGCGTGGTGAGTGCTAGTCATGCAATCTCAAACTGAGGACCAGGAAGTCTTCCAGGACATGGGGGGGGGGATCATGGGCATTCCTCCGAAGTCTGTTCAGATGGCACCCCATTTCCCAAGCCTGAAATCATGTTGGAAAAAGTGCAGAAATGTGCACATCCATCCCAAGTGAAAATCCCCCACAAATGGACATTGTCTTGCTTAAATTATTAAGGGGATGCCTTTCTTTTTGGTGCCATGACCCGCTATCAAGTGGTCTCCAACAGATGGCGACCCTTTGAATGCTTGCTTTAAAATGGCCTGTCCTTGACAGCCCTGCTGAGATCACACCACTTTGGGTCAGTCCTTTTACATTCTTTGTCTTTTTGTGCTGCAAAGCGTGTATACAAGTCCAGATTTTATTTTTATTTTTTTACTCCTGTCTGCAGGTCTGTGCATCTCGGAAATAGCGGCTTTGCTGTGAAATCCATGGATCGCATTCCTAGAAATAGAATCCCTAAAACCGTCAGGAGGGGGGGCGGAAGGCGCTTGGCGGGGGCTCCGCTGATTCTGCAGAAAGGCGAGCAGAAAGGCAGAAGGCCGCCCTCCCTCGGTCTGCGGCTGCCACCTAGTGGGCAGAGCGCGGTACTTCTATGTCGGCCCTTGCAGGCGGAAGTCAGCCAGCAACCCACTTTAGCAGTTGCTGGACCGGGATGTCTCCTGTTGGCAGCTTTCTAGACGGACTCTGCGGAGGGCCACTCTGATATAAGCTCCCTAAGACAGCAGTCAGGGTGAGTGTAAGAGGAGTACCTTGAGCTTGGATCCGCTCCCTTGCTATTGCCTATTCTAGGCCGGACAGGTTGGGCTGCATTGGCTTATTTGTCGGATCTTGGAATGGATGTTCCTTTCTTTGAAGCATCAGGAATGGAGGAAAGTGGAGAGCCCCAAATCACCAGCCCAATACGGAGGAGGCAAGCCAGACAGGGGCCTTCATCACTACACTGGCTATTATTATTATTACACTATATTGATATCCGACCTGTTTCTCTCATGTGAGGGACCCACAGCTGCTTCTGTGTTCCATTTTATCTTCACAACAGCAACCCTGCAAGGTAGGTTATGTTGAGAGTCTGCAACTGGCTCAAAGTCACCCTGGGAACTTCATGGCTGAGTGGGACTAGAACCCGGGTTTTCTGGGTTCCAGCCCAGCACTCCCACTCCTAGACCACACTGTCTCTCACTCACCACCGCGGCTGCAGCGGCATTCAGCCCCCAGGCAAGACGGAGGACTTGCAGAGACGTCAAAGGTCCAGCAGGTGCATTGCATGCAGAAGGCACTGGGTTCAAATCTCCTGAAGGATCAGGTAGTGGGTGATGGGGAAACTCTTCTTGGGTCTTTTCTGTCTAAAACCCTGAAGACCAGGAGCCAGCAGGCCTTGTAGAAGACAAATTCCTATGTTTCTCCCCATGGGGCAGGGTTACGGAATGCCAGGCCTGTGGCCCAGAAGGTCTCCAGAGGATTCCACCATGACCCCCCCCCCCCCAATTTCATCCTTTTTCCCTGACCAGCGACCTGGGTGCTTTTTGTGAACTTCCGCACCATGCACCCAGCCTACTCTAAAAGACTGAAAAGATTCTTCTAAGCATTTGTTACTGATCATAAGAGCTTTAAGCTAAAACATGCAGGCAATTTTGGTCTTGTTCCTTCTTGTCTGGGGCCTGCAGCTCCACCCCATTACTGGAACGCTGCCCCCAAGAAATGGAATGTGGACCTTTGGCTGAAGAGCTCAGCATCCTACCTTAGGGAAATTGGATTAGTCAAAGCTAGTAGAGGGCTATACCAGCCTTTGCCACTCATGTGAGATGACTCTGACAGCAACAACTCTTAAGTGGATAATCCAACCCTTTCCCCCAAGATAGACTCCAATTATGTAAAGCAAAGCACCTGGTGATCAGATTGCTCCTATATGATTCCCTTCTAAAGACAAATTGCAATGGGGAAGCAGGCAAGGGGAAGATTTCAGCCGGGAAAAATGAATGGGGAAAGGTTTTTAATTTTTTTATTCTGTTGCAACCCAATAACTTTAAGCTTTTAACCTGTTTTAACCCATCATTTTACTGACACTTCTGCTTCCAGATTATTTGCAGGATTAAAACGGGCTCCTTTACCAGTTTTCCCCCAGGGTTTCTTTTTCTGCTGATGTTCTGTCATGTCACCACAAGGTGGCGCTACAGCATTCTGCAAACCCTGGACCATTTCATAGCTTTTTTATCTATCCTTTAAAAAAAAAAGGCCACAAAAATGCTCAGAAGGCACATGTGGAAAAGACATCAATTTTTTTTCTTTTTTGCATGAAAAAACCATAAAATTCTCACCTTCCATGGCTGAGGAATCATAAAAGCACAGGAGATGCTTCTTATGCAGAAGTCTCTCCCCTTCCTCCACCCTCTGCCCTTGCACGTATATGCATATTCTTAAACTTCTAATCAAGCTGCCATGCATCCTGTCTAGTCCTGGCCTTGAAATGTAGTGGTTCGTAGATCTACTGTAAATTGAACTTGATCCCACAAGCCTGAATTCAAATCTAAATCTAATAATACATAAATAAATCTCCCATTTGAAGTATCAGGTAGTGGGTGATGGGGAAAATACTTCTCTGTCAGAAATGCTGGACAGCTGCTACCACTAAAGAGTAAATTAATAGTAAACAGTAACGGTAGCCAGTAAACAGTGCCTGTTTTTGGCAATTGTGAGTTGGAGATCAATTAAATGAATAAGATGTATTGGTAGGTTTCTTAAGATACCATTAAAAGCACTCTCCTATGCAAATTTAGACAAAAAAATCTGACTGGAGCATTCTGAGTTACTGGGGCATGTGTGGGTTTTTTTCTGCCTAAACTCAAATCAGACCACTTTAAATAAATGTTGTTTTTCTGCCAGAGATTCCCATTTTATTTCTTGCCTACACAGTCATTTCCAGGCAAGCCCATTGATCCAAACTGCATAATCTCCAAGTCCCCACATTGCTTGGAATGCTAATGTCGTAGAGGAACAGGGAGTCGGGACTACGTTTTAAAAGATCAACTCCTTGGTCCCTTTCTAAGGTGGGTTGCATTGTACAAGCATGCATGCAAAGGAAAAATGTTAGTATATTATTATTATTACTACTGCTGCTGCTACATTTGGATTCCATCTTTTTTCCTCTTGCAAAAAAACCCAGCGTGGCTTATTTATTTTGGTCCTTGTTTCCATTTTATCTTCAAAACATCCCTGCGCGGTAGGTTAGCCTGTCAGTGACTGCCCCAAGTCACCCAGGGAGAGACATGGCTTGAGTAGACTAGAAGCCAGGTCTCCAGGACAAGCACTCTAACCACTATACCACATCGCCTTAATCCAGGTTTACTCAGCAGGTGCTAGGAACTAGACACAAATCTGGGCCTTAATAGACATGCAACAAAATCTGGCAACTGGATCCAGAGGCTAATACATGAGTTGAACCGTTTTATTTTCATGTTCTTGATCACTAGCAGTTGAAAATGTCTGGATCCCTGTGAAACAAACTCAAAATGATTGTGCAGGATTCTTTAAAAAGCAAATAAAAGCACACTTTTATGCAAGTTTAAGCAGAAAAAAAGGCCTGCGTTTTCAAGCAGGCTGAGAATTACAGGCCTTCTTTTTGCCCAGACAGGCATAGGATCTCTCCCTAAATGTGTGCAGCTCCTAGCCTATCTGGTCATCCTGGCTCCTCTGCGGTATAATTCATCTGTAATTCAGCTATTGGGATAACAAACAAGTAGAAATGAGCCTAAAAAATGCTTGAAAGGCACAGGTAGGATGGCACTCCGTGTTTCTGTTTTTCTGCACAAAAGTCCTAATATAAAATCTTCTTTCTAGTATGTTATCTTGAAACTAAGTTTCATATTTTCCCATCGTGGTAGGTTAGCACATGCTCGGAGACACTCTTGTCTTTTTCATGTTACACAGTCTTCGAGTTCCTTTATGGCAGTGATCCATCTCATATTTGGATAAAATTGCTTAGGACTGACTGATACGTTCGCTCACATATAGGGTAACAGAGTAAGGGCATGATCTAGTGTAGCTACCTGGACCCCCCCAGCTCAGAAGGTTACAGGCATCCCAGCAACGGTGCAAAGAGCGTGGAGACATGAATTTCTGCGCTTCTCCAGCCGAGGCGAAGACATTGGTGGGCAGTTGCAGCTACCTCTCTTTTGCCCTGCTTATCTGGAGCGGGGGCTGAAACCCTAATGGGGATTCCTTATCTCCCACCAGAGTCTCCCAATTCCCCTCTCTGCCCCCTGGAACCTCCCCACAGCCTCTTCAAATGCCAGGGGAGCTGCAGCAGGCCTAGGAAGAACCACTCTGACTAGGAAGAGGGAGGAAGTGCATTCCTCCATCCGAGACGCAGCTCCCGCCTTGGATGCTTTTATTCGGTCGTGGCTGGGGCTCCACCCCACCAAGCAGACTCTGGCAGCCACAGGATCATGGCATGATCAGGTGCATTAAATGCAGGTACGCTGCATTGTAAACTAGACATCCGTATGTGACACCAATTCACAGGTGAATTCACAGGGCAACCCACCCCGTGATGACAAGCCCTGTTCCCCTTCCTTTCTGGACTGCCTCAAGCAGCCAAGCAGGGCATCGTTCGGCGCTCGGCATCCTCGGAACATCATCTTCACGGATCCAGTCTACTTCCTCAGCTGCCCAAGTCGAAAGGAATCCAGAGCCGCATCATCAAGGTGGAGCGGAAATCAGGTAAGGGCCACTTTACTTGCACCAAGGTTCTGCCCCTAGGCAGACTCGATGCCCCGAATTTCAAGGGAAAAGGTCAAAACTGGTCCACACGTAGACGTTTTAGTGATCCCATCATGGCACACAGGGGCGCAGGTACAAGTGCTGGCATCACGGTCTGAGCACCCCTGGGGGAGGCCTCCTCAACGGGCCCCCTCCCTCTGTGTGTCTACCTTCTCTTTGTCGTTGCCGCGTCATCTGAACACTGTCCTGTTCGCATGCACACAGCCTAGCAGGTGGAAGAGATTGCATTTCCAAATGCAAATGTCTATGCTGATTTGGCAGATTGCTTGTCTGCACCCCCTTCTTTCCCTGCACACCCCCACAAAAGAAAAATCCTATAGCCCCTTTGGGGATGAGCCACAATGTAGAACCTTTCCTGCAGCATCCACTCAGTCATTTGCAGAAGCGTGTTGTGCCGGTCTCATTAAGAGGATGCATCACCCTCCGCAGAATGGAACAGAACGGGCCTTCCCAGCCCTTCGAGTCATAATAAGGTGTCTGAGACATTTCCTGAGGCATAGGAGCTCTTAGGGCCACACATGTTGCTGGGCATACCGGCTGTGCCTGTCTCTGAAGCTCAGCACGATACACTTGGCGAGACTTTTAGAGGGAGACCTGCCCTGTGTGTTCACAGAGAGTTCCCTTTGTTTAGAGAGAGGAGGTGGAGACCAGGGCATCTCTCACTGAAAATCCCACACTAATAATCCAGGGAAGGTTATCTGCCCTTCCTAGATGGTCGGAGACTTTGTTGTTATCCTTTGTCTCCGACTTATGGTGACCCTGGGAATGGGAGTCCTCCAGAATGGCTGGTCCTTCGCTGCCCTGCTCAGCTTTGTAAAATAAAGGCAGTGTCTTACTTTATGGAACAATCCATCCCATATTTGGTCTTCCTTTTCTTCTTCTGCCTTTGACTTTCCCTAGCATGAAGCTCTTCTCCAGCCAATCTTGCCTTCTCATGAGGTGTCCAAAGTAAGGCAGCCTCAGTTTGGCCAGTTTTGCTTCTAGGGAAAGCTCTGCCTTGATCTGATCCAGGACTTCCCTGTTTGCCTTCCTGTCAGACCGGGGTGTCCGCAAAGCCCTCATCCGGCACCCTATTTCGAACATACTTGCTTTCTCCCTGTCAGCTTTCTTCCCTGTCCAGTTTTCACAGCCATACATTCTGACTGGGAATACAATAATAAACGAAGCTGGCAGCTCAGCACAGCATCCCATATGCATGATTCTCACAACAACCCTGCAGAGCAGGCTAAGCTAAGAGACTAAGCTAAGCTGAGAGCCAGTGTGGTATAGTGGTTACAGGGCTGGACGAGGACTTGGGAATTCCCAGACTCCCTTTTGTTGTCAGCTTTGACAGAAGGGCTGGGGCATCACTTGCCCCAGAAACTTTGGAACTCTTGGAATATCCCTTGCCTGCTCAGGGAACCAATACAGACTGGACTGACAGAAAGGCAAACAGAGCGTAGATCAAATCAAGCCAGAACTTGCTCTGGAAGCACAACTGTTTGCTTTGGGCGCAAATTGAGAAGGCAAGAGAAAACCATCATGCTAAGGAAAGTGGAAGGCAAAGTGGAAGAAGAGGAAGACTAAATCTGAGATGAATTTACTTCCATAAAGGAAGCCAGATCCTTGAGTTTACAAGAGCTGAGCGGGGCTGTCAAGCACAGGGTATTTTGCAGGGGTTTCATTCACTGGATTGACATAAGTCAGAGACAACTTGTTGGCATATACCCAAAATATATTGTTTGCTTGTTGATATTGTGCTTCCACATTTCATCATTGTTTTCAGTAGACCGTATATCCTCTTTCACACAGTTGGCTTTGTTTCTTCCTAAGTATCCTTGCATCTAAAGTGAGGTGTCTAGGGCTGGACCAGGCTGCTGGGGTTAAAACAACATTATTATTAGACTCCAGTAGACTTATGTGGAAGGTTGTCAACAAATGCTTATCCTCTGGAACATGCACACCAAGTGCAGAATATGCCAGACCATTTGGAAGCATTCCTATGACTAGAGGGCAGATTAAGCTATCGTACAATGCCATGTCTGAGGTTTGTGTTCGCGACACTTTGTGCCCAGTGGTACAAAATATAAGTGAAATATCTAACAGGATTATTAGGGTATACTTACCCCTCACAACACATGCTTGAATTGGAAAGGTATCCAACCAGACATATTTTAATTTCACTATAAACACCTATGCTTGAAGAAGAGTTCTGTGAAACATGGAGGCTTTCTTCTGACATGTCTCAGATCCAAGAAAAGGCATTATTTCATTGACTGGATTAACACTGAACAAGGACCCTGTTTCTCCTTAAAGCCTACAGCTTTAGGTCACAATCCTAGGCATGTTTAGATGGGGGGTGCAGGTAATTTAACCCCCAGCATTTCCCAGCTGGCCTTGCAAACAGAGGAACCAAAGGTTCTAGAAGTGATTCCTGTGGGTCACCGACATTTCTATGCGGAGGCTAAACATTACTGTGAAGCATCTGAAATGGATGGTCCTCTCCATTTTAGTTTACGGTAATTTAACACCCATGGGGTGGGGCAGAGGCAGAAGGCTGGTAGTTTGCCATTCCCTGGGCTAATGGATTTATAAAAACTCGGAGTGAACCCGCTGAGAGCTGAAGGTAGGAGGGTGACGGAACTTTCCTGTGTTCACTGGAACACTAATGCATCCTCAATATACTACTCAGCCAAGCAGACGAGAATTAAGTGCTTGCAGTGTAAGAACCATCTCTAATCTTCATTCAAGGTTTGACACAGGAGAACAAAAGGTTGGTTAATCCATGCTTGCTGTATAGATGTCTGCCATAATTGCATCTCCGGGCAGCTCACAAAACAAAACTTAAAACCATTAAAAACCAACAACCAGAACTTAGTCCTAAATAAATGCTCATGTTTTTTCTCAGTGGTTCAGCCCATTGCAAATGGATTGGGAAACAGCCTAATATGTACAAATTCCCACTTTTGCTTTTTTAAGGATTGCATTTCCGGAGCTACCCTTTCCAGCATTCCTGGAAGGAAAATATAGCAATGCTTCAAGAAACGTATAGGTGTGGATCTGTGGTCTGCAAGAGGTAAAGGATTTGTCACATTTTGTTGTTGTTATTTCATTTCTATACAGCAGCTCTTTGGGCAGTTCAGACATTCTGCGCTGCCCTGCCAACTGTGTCAAAATTCCAGGGAGACGTCCATGGGACAGATCCTGGCAGCTCTGTGGAGAAAAAGCATGTGTGAAGACTTGCTGGTTCCTGTTAGATTGCCACACACACACACTACATATAAAGTGCCCTTAAGGTACACACCCTTTGAACTTGGAGGACTGTGGGCATCCTATGAATTGCGGGGGCAGCATGGCGATGACGCTTGCCAGCCAACTGCATGGCTGATTTCAGGCGGCACTTTGGAGGGGGGAGAAAGGAGACAGATACATCACATCTCGATGGCACTGGTCTCCTCTTCTCTCTGCTCCCCAGAATGCTCTTTTAGGCTGCTGTTATGACCTGAAAGATGCTATCAGCACTGGCGGCAGGGGGGAAAGGGGGATATGAATGCAAGTTCAGAACAAATCAGGGAATCCAAAAAATCCTATGGAGCCTCAAATGCTGCCTGGAACCCCAGGATTGCTCTGTTAGCCTATGAAAATTATCTGCACAGTCATGCTAAATACTATTGCAGGCAATGGAGGGACTCAATTTATGCTTGGTTTTAATATTGCACAATACACTGCATTGTTTTTTGTAGTAGCTATTAGTCAGATACAATCAAATGTTTTTTATTTTGGGAAGTGATAATATAAAGGCGATATACTGAAGTTTCAAACAGAATAAAATTAAAGGAGGAACCAGGAAAAAGCCAGCTGTGGTGCAAAGATCTAAAAATTCAATGATGCGATTTATAAAAACAAAGAGCTTTAATATACAGCATTCTCCACTGTGCTCTTGAAATGAACCAGCAGCTACGGTGAAGCCTCCCGTTTTTATACATTTCTCAGTGTTTTCTAGAGTGGGTTCCTGCTGAATTTAGATTGACTAATTTAGATGCAAAAAACTGGGAGTCAGAAATCTTTGCAATTTTCAGTCTACTGAAAATTGCACTGATAGCGACCGTAAGTAGAACCAGATATACCTTCTGCTTATCCCTTCCTTCTGGCCATGGCTGTGTTTTGAGCATGCTTTCAGCAAGGTGTCCTCAATGACCCCCTTCCTGCGGTCAGTGCCTGCCGTCTCATCCTCGCTTCTCATTATGGCCACCGCTTGCTTATGTTGGGAAAATCTGGATAAATCCTGTCAGAAAAACATGGCTTCTGTGTGCCTTTGCATTGTGGAATCAATCCTGTACTCCTTCTCAAACCGAGCTAAGTCACTGTTTAAAATGGCATTCCTCCCCAGCTCCTTTCTCTCACCTTTAGCTGTACGCTTCAGTAGTCAGGCCATTTAGTCCAAATATACATTATATACCTTCACAGTGATTAAATAATCCTGGTTGGAATTCACAGTTTACCAGGAAGTATCTTTTGCTAGCCCAGAGGGCTCCATGTGCCCTGGCCATTCAGAATGGTGCGGATGCATTACTTAGGGTCTGAGTCTAGATGAGCTTATGAGTTCGTGAAGTTTCTCAGTAGCTTGGATTTACATGTCTAAGCAGACCTCGAGATGGGTTCAAGTTACTCAACAGTGTGGTGTAGTAGAGAACCAGTGTGGTGTAGTGGTTAAAACATGGGATTGGAACTCAGATGATCTGGGTTCGAGTCCCCGCTCAGCCATGGAGCCAACTGGGTGACTTTGGGCCAGTCACAGACTCTCAGCCCAACCTACCTCACAGGGTTGTTGTTGTGGGGATAAGATGGAGGAGGAGAATGATGTAAGCTGCCTTGAGCCCTTTGTAGGAAAAAGGCAGGATATAAATCAATCAATCAATCAATCAAAACTAAAGTGTCGATACACTGCAATTAGAAATATTGTAATCTCATTGTCACTGTATGATTGGCTGATCTTCCTTTATCTGTTCTGTGTGTGATGACCTCAGAATCTTATTGTAATGTCTGCATTCTGTCATCAATTGCTCTGTACCTGTGTATGTGACGAGGAGGGTGTAAAATACCCTGTAGTTGTATTGAAACTTTGCAGCGAGTTTACCTCTGCCTGCCCGGTAATGCATTATTGTGAGTCTACCGTGGGAACCTGGGCCAAACAATGAAGCCACAGATGGTCTGAACGCTTGATCTTTCCCACGAACCCGAGTTTTATTTCCTCCTCACAAATTGAAATTCCGGGATTTTCTGACACTTACTTGAGAGCCAGAGAGCCAGGCAGTGGCGTCTTCAGCTTCTCCTGCGCACAACCACCATTGTCTGGGTCAGAGCGAGGGGCAGCTTGCAGTGCGGAAGAAGAGGGCCGGGACTGGGTGGCCTTTGTCCATGAACCCCTGCCAGTGTGGTGGGGTCCCTCGGCAGTCGCCCCAGCTATGCCCATGCTTGCTGCTTGCATTGGACATGAGTCTCGCGGAGGGCGGTGGGGCTGACTTGCAGGTAACACACTGGAACACCCCTGCTGATCAGACCAAACCCTGTCAGGTCAAGTGCCTTGTTTCCCACCATGGCCAGCCAGATGCCCCTTGGAAGGAGGGCACTAGAGCTCTGACCATCTCCCGCTGCGCAACTAAGACTGTATGACACACCTCGGTTTGCTCATATCAACGCAGGAGGGATGGATCCCCCCCTGCCCCTTGGAGCAACACTGCCCTCCAGAGGTGGGCTCCTGCAATAGCTTTAGCATTTGCAAAACTGTCAGACATTCAGCAGGAAAAAGTTGTTTTGTCACAACATGGGAACGGCCGGTGAAGACTCCTTTTGGTCGTTTGCTCCAGATGGAACCTGCTCCAACACACAGCCTGCTTAAGGGTGGAGATTTAGGTTCATGTTAGAAGTTGGCACTTCTGAATGGAAGCTATTCTGAATTTCTTAATACTCTTGGGGCACTTCTATTGTAAACATGTATTGCTCCATCACTGGCACTCATTCCTGTGTGTGTGTTCAGGTAATCATGTCTTTAATTTGTAAACCTGGTTTTCCTGGTAACATAGTCTGTTAAGGGAAAAATATGATGGATTACTGCACAGTGTGTTCTGAATGCCTTCTACCTGGGGGAGAAATACACTGAAAACCTGGTTAGAATGCCTGGACTTAGCCTTGAAGAAAGGCAAAAGTATCATTTTTAAGAACCACACATCCGAGCATGTACAGAGTGTACTTCTTTCACTGCTGAGTAACTACACCCCATTTCCTTATATCCCAGATTAGGGATCAAACCTCCCAACGTCAGAACGTGCAGGTTCCAGGCCAAGTCGGTTTCAGCCCCGGCACTCTTTTTTTTACAAATTAACTCCTGATTATAATGCAGATGATTTTTCTTGAGTCTTCAAGGAAAAGAAGGCGAAAGGCATAAGTCATAAGATCCATCCCATCATTACGCGCTAAACCCAATTTCCTTTGTCCGTCCAGAAACTTGAAACGGCGGTTTTAGGACCCGGTTTAAAAAAATCGGCAAGCAAGGAAGAAAGAAAGAGGAAAAAAGGCCACACTAAATGCTGACGGCGGAGGGGGGGGTTGGGGGATGGAGGAGGAGTCAACAGGACGGCATTGACAATAGTCTCGCGCGCGAGCCAATGAGAGCCGCCGCAGGGCGTTCCATATTTACATACCGCCGCGCCGCGCCCAATGGTTCTCGGGACACCCGCCGCGGCTGAGCAGGAAAGGGGCGGACGAGAGGCGCGCTCCGCCCGGCGGCGCTGGTGGGCTGGGCGGGCGGCCGGCCGTCCCATGGCTGCCGTGCCGCTGCGAGCCGTGGCGGCGGCTCATTGAGAGAATGGCTGCGGCGGCGGCGGCTGCGAGTGCTGCCGCCGCCTGCGGCTCCCCCAAAAGCCGGCCGCCCAAGGAGCAGCCGGAGCTGGACTTGCCGCCGCCGCCGGCCCCGGCCGCGAGGAAGCGGGGCGGCGACTCGCGGCGGCGGCAGGCCGCCCTTTTCTTCCTCAACAACATCTCCCTGGACGGGCGGCCGCCCTGCCTGGCCCCGGGCAAGCCGCAGCACTTGCACCAGCAGCCGCCTCTGCCGCGGCCGTCGTCGTCCGCGTCCTCGGCGCCGGGCGAGCCGCTGCTGCCGCGGCCGGAGGAGGATGCCGCCGCGGAGCTGGCCCTGGCGGCGGCGGATCCCGCCCCCCGCCTCCTGCTGGCCGCCAACGGGCCGCCGCCGGGGCTGCTCCTGCCCCCCGTGGCCGCCCCCGAGCTGGACCCTTCCCGGGGGCTGGGCGCCGCGGCCGCCCTCCTGCCGCAGCTCCTGCTGGGCAGCCCGCTCTGCCCGGTGCCCGCCGCGCCGGTGGCGCCCGCAGCCGCCCTGGCGGGGGTGCTGGTGGGGGCCGCCAAGCCTGGCATCGCCCCGCAGGGGCTGCTCAGCCCCACGCAGAGCATCGCCGCCGGAGGAGCGTTCCCGCTGGAGGTCCAGAGGCAAAGGTGAGGGCCGCGCGGGGGCTCCCCGGATTCCTGGGCCCCTGTGGCTCCGTGCGGGGCGGGGGGAGTGGACCTGCCGCGGCTCCTGCTACTGACAGCTTCCAGCTTTCTTTATTTCCTGTAACGAGATAATCCATTTCTCTTCCACCTATGGATCAGTCTCCCTTCACGCCCACCACCGGTGCATTTCTCCTGGATTGCCGGACTAACAGCTCAATCTTGCCTTGCCATCTTGAATCCCTGCTCTGCGTGTGCCTCTGTTTTATTCTAATTTACAAATATATGCCTTGTTTTATATATGGTCCAGGGCGGCTGTAGCAGACTGAAGATGTGACAGTGAACGTGAATGCATGCTAAAGGGGCAAAGCAGGAAGCTGTCCGGAAAGATGCACTTCTGTGCGCACTTGCCAGGGAGTAAATCCCACTGAATAGAGTAGAATGTACTTCTGAGTCACTCTCCATAGGCTTGCTTGCAAAAGCACGGCTTAGCCCCAGTTAAAGTGCATATGATTGCAGCCTCGTGCCTTCAAGTATAATCTCTACTCCAGAAGGGATATCAAACGGGAGGCACGGACTACGATCTTCCACCCTTATGAACTTTCACTCCAGTTTGTTTTTAATCTGTTTTGGAGGCGCGTTTGCAAAACCCCTTTTGTTGCCTAGAATTAAATTTGGGGAAACCTAACATTTTACAGAGGAACAGGGATGGCTTTGCCACTACCTATTTCTTCACGAAGAATGAGGCTTCCCTTTTTGTACTCTTCGTCCTTTCGTGGGCCTTTCCGTGCACTCTCTTGTGCTTGTTTTCCTTTTGAAATAGCGTAAGAGGGGTTCGGTCACTTCTATTCATTCTGAGAGTCTTTAACTTAGCTCAGTTCTGGTGATGCTACTAAGAATTCACTTAGTGGGAAATATCTATGTTGTCCTTGTGGGTGCTTTGCAGAGGTTGACATGGGCCGTGCTTTTCCATTGCAGGAAGGCTGTCCCTTACGTTACGGAATTTGCGGCTGGCTGCTTGAAAACCTGTAGCACGTGTATAGGTATTTATTGTGCAGTGAGAGGAAAGCAGGCTTTGCTGAAGGGCAAGTAGTGGTGTGTGGGCAGGTGTTCTGGGGTCTTAAAGGCTCTGTTTTGCATAGGTTTGGGTGTTTCTTGAGCAGCATTCTTGGGCTGCAGCCCATGATCTGCTGTGGCCCCCTTGGCAAGTCCAGGGAGATCCCTTCAGGAAGTCCAAATTTATTCTGAAGCTGCCTCACCCTTTCCTCTGTGCATTGCCAAGGCTGAGGGACACCCATCTTAACCAACAGGTGTCTGTTCAAAGCAACCTGCAGGCATCTCTGAAGGTGTTCAAACAGTGTGAAGAAAGCAGGTAGCAGGAAGGAACATGATGGCAGTGAATCACAAGGATAGACTGTGCATGTAGAATCTAAGTTTCATTTACGGAAGCAGCTGTTTATTTTTAGTATTTACTGCAGGGGAAGGGAGTATATAATTCTGAATTCATGCAGCTAGTTGGCTGGCCTCAGGCTGTGCCTTCCAGGGTGGTTGAGATAACTTTGTGTACGTGTCTCTTTGCTCTCGGAAGCAGAATGGGATGCAGTCATAAGAGATAAAATCAAACATTCTTTTCTCCTCCCAGACTTATATATTTATTTAAAGCTTGTATATACCATTCATTCAGCAAAAAGCTCTCTGAACAATGTACAGCAGGGGTAAAACCATAAAAACACAACATGATACTTCGATATCTATAAGCATCACAATGCCCATCAAAATCCAAAACAACATAAACAATTAACAACTAAGAATAATACACTTCACCAAAATAATTTATGCACCATACTACCAATGATAATAGGAATAAAAACCAGTGTGAAATCAAACCATATATAACAATTAAAATACCAGAAAAAGAAAAGGGTTTTACCTGATGCCGAAATGTATAAAGAATGGGTGCCACGTATACCTCCCTGATTAGCCGATTCTACAGTTGGGGCACCACAACCAAGAAGGCCCTCCCCCCTGCAGCCAACTCCTGCTTCTTTTAAAGGTGGCTCCCAGAGAAGGACCTCTGTAGAAGATTTTAGGGTCTTGGTAGGTTTTTATAGGAGGAGACATTCCGTTAGATATCCAGGCTTTATATGTCAATACAGATACCTTAAATTTGGCCCGGACTTCAATTGAAGTGAAGACAATGAAGGACAGGGCTGCCCTGCGGACCTGCAAATCTAGCTGTTCTTCTATACATTGTTCTCTGTGTCTTTCTGAATGGATCCAGACGACGCAGTAACCCACAGTTCAGTGACAACCCTCACTCAGCCCTGGTGTATGCATTATCCTGTTGTCTGAACCCAACCAAGAAGAACAACTCACAGTTCACAACCCAGCCACAAACCATGGCTTCTCTTTGACAGGTTGTTTGCTACTGAGAAGGCATGGCTTGTTAGTGCAGTTGGATTCAGACAATAGGATAACCTACATTTCGGCAGCGAGTAACCCTCGATCCATACCCAGCCCTTGAATGCAGGTTGTCTCAATGCCTGAACTGAGTCTCCTTCTGATACCCAAACACCCCACACAGGGCAGGAAGACCACAGAGTTGTGTTAAGTAACAACCTGTCATTTGGTCATGGGAAAAGAGTGCCAGATATTCCAGAAACTGAAGAATGACCATATCTGTCTACCTACCTATTGATTAAACATTGTGGGGTCATCTAGTAACAGTGATGGAAGAGCCCTTTGCATCCTTCATTGTACCCCAAATGCACTTCTCATTCTAAAGCCACCAAACCTTGAAGCTTCTTGGGGCACAGCGCCATTCTCAGCTAAAGTCACTTGTCCTTGCCTCTCTAAATGACCACAGAACGGGGACTCAGGTTTCAGGAGGAAGCATGAAATAAAAGTACAAATGGTCAGCAAACTGGTGTGCTGCTTACATCTACACAGTTTGGGCCAATAGCCTGTCACATCTGCAGGGTGGAAGAGGGAACTCCTTGAGGTCTGGTGTGCTGCTTTGTAAAGCTGGTGTGCACTTGCAAGCCTTCTAGAGGATAAGCACTATTATAGTCGATATGATTCTCTCAGAGTTTGTTGTTCCCGTTTTTAATGAATCAGGACTTTAAATACCTGAGCATTTTGTGGTGTGCTTTAATCTGCTTAGGAGAGAGGAGACGCTTTTTTAATATTTGGGCGTAGAGCATTGCCAGCAGATATGCCCTTGATAGTGCTGCAGTTTAACCTGCCTGGGCAAAAACCCCACTTACTTGGATGCTCGTCTTTGCTGTATTCGGCCTGCTTTGCTCGCTCGGCCTGTCTCCAGCATGCTTTGGGGCTTCAGTGGTGGCCTCCAGAGAGAAGCAGCACGGATCTTTTTCAGAGGAGGAAAAACAATTGCTGTTCCAATAGCCATTGGGCTGTCATGTTCAGAACTCAGGAGCCTGAACATGAAAATGCAATTATTTCCATACGGCTTGCTAAAGTGATGCTACTGACAACCTTTTCCAATGGCACCTTGATTTTTTAAAATCATTTCGCGCTAGTAGAACTGCCTTTAGTACAGGCAGGGATTAATTCAGAAAGCTCTTGATTGGTGGACAGAGGGTGTATTCTATATATGTGAGGGGTTTTGCATCCCAGTATCTCAGGAGGCAAAATATGGTGCAGCAGGATATCTCATTGCTTGCTTGCCTCCCGGCCTAGGTTTTCAGTCCACACATGAAAACTCTTCCTTCAGGCCTTTCCGTGATCTTTGTACATCCTTTGGCTAACCCCCCCCCCCCCGGCCTCTGTACTCCTCTTGTCTTTTCATTTTATTTCTTAGGACTTCAAAAAATCTATTTCTGTACTTAACCAGAAGTGTGGCATGCCTGTGGCGAAGCCAAGCGCCAACCTCCAGCACCATCATTATGTGGGTTTTGAGTTCTAGAACTCAGTACCCCTGCTGTCTTGTTATTTCTGCTCTTGGGCAATTTGCTTTTCATTTAGTCTCACTAGTTTGCCTTCTGGGGAAAGGAGTGCTTTGTGACCAGCCATACATACCATGGCAGAATGGGAAAGCCCTCCTGAGGCTGCCATTTTGTGAGTGTGCCCATGACATTCCGTCAAAACTCCAAATATGCCCACTCTCCCAGAAAAGTTGGGAGGTATATGCCATTGGGAACTCTGGTGCAACCTGTTCTGTTGTTTTCTGCCTAGCACATGGAGGTCAGGGTGGAGGGGCAGGAAAACAGGAGCTATAGTTACGCTCCCCCGCCCCTCCTCATGGCTCTGAAAATGTGGAATGAAGTATAAGAAGCAGCTCCTGAGGGTCTGGCATTAGAAGGGTGTGTTGCAGGGTTGGTGGTAGATGTTCCATAATCTGAATCGCAACAAACTGCCTTTCCTGTTGTGTACTGCTATTCCCTGGGACCAATGCAGGAACAAAACACAGGCTGGATGCAGAATTTGGCTTCTTGGAAAGATCAGTGTGCGCTTCAAAAAGAGTAGTGTACTTGCTCTTGTGTTATGGTTGGGGTGATGCACCTGAAAATGTTTGGCCACAAACTTTGGAAATCTCAGAGGCCTAAGCGATGTCTGAATAAGGGTTTTTTGGCAGTTGAGAGAATGTGTTCAGTGCCCAGTCCAGCTTTCCCAAGACAAGTAGAATACATTATGTGAATTAAAAAACTGCAAAGGAATCAAAGTTGGGGAGGAGGAAGCAAGCATATTGGTTGTCCAACCTCTGCTTGAAGGGGCTCAGTGAGAGAGAACCCCTCTAGGTCATATTGTTAAACTGGCCCAGTCATTAAGAAGTTTATCGTAATGTTTGGTGACATCCATCATTCTGTAACTTAATCACATTAGATCCAGTGCAGCCACTTGGATTTGTGACAAGTCTCCCAGTTTCTCACTGGAATAGTTTTGTGATTGCCTTTTAAGGGGAAATTCCATTTCATTTCCAGCAACCTTTTCCATTAGTATTTCTAACTGTGGAATCCTGTTTAGTATTTTCTGGGAAATGGGTT